CCATCAGCCTGGTTATAAGTAACCCTCAAACCATAATCACTGAAAACTTTGCAGCCAAAATTAACTGCCGTTGGTACGTACTACTACTTAAACTAATCCTGAATGTCCAGCTGGAAACAGGAAGTTTTTTCTTCGCTGTAATACCCAAATCTAAGAAGGAATGTAAGGGGGTTAAAATTAACTAAGTACCGAGATCTGACATTCCAGGTGCAATTAGAAACTTTTAAGCTTCTACACTTATGCAGTTCAAATTCTCTAAAAACCAAGACTCAACAATTCAGGTGCAGCTAGTAACTTTTAAGCTTTTATTAAAGGTTGAAGAGAAAACATCAAGAAGGAAAGGAAATAAAGAAAACGAGGAAAAGGGTAGTAAGATGGGAAAGGGGACCGAAGAAATATTTGTAATAGGTAAATGTTTCGGTCCATTAAGTCGTATACATTTCTTACCGCTACCACAACTGGATCTCGTCAGTACGACGATTGTGGTAACAAAATAATTTAGTGAGGTATAGAATTAATTAAGATAAAAGAAATGTAAAACAGAAGAAATGAAAGAAATGGAAGAAATGGAAGACCGGAAGTAAGTAAATAAGTGCAACACTTATGCAGTTCAAATTTACTAAGCACCGAAATCCGACATTTCAGGTGCAGTTAGTAACTTTTAATCTTTGATCAGTGAACCAGGAACGGATTAAGCTAAGCGTAAAATGAGCAGCGAAATTCGATGAAAATTGGTGTAAGTGTACCATTTTATCGAAGTCTTTATCGAATATATCGTTGACTATGCAACCAGCTGATCGCATCAGGAATGCACCGGCGCCAAACAGGGCCAGCATTTTCGGATCAGGCAACAGTCCTGCTGGTGTAGCCAGTGATATGGACCAAGTACAGGGCCAGTACAGCAACCACACACCTCAATGAATAAAACATTATTATTATTACTGCTATTATTATCACTATTATTATTATCATCATCATTATTGTTATCACGATTATTATTGTCATTATTATTATCACTGTTGTTATTACTACTATCCCGGGAATTCAAGTGATTTTTGAAAAAAAAAGAAGAAAATTAGTTCCAAAAAACTCACAAACTCCTTAACAAATGTATCCCAAATCTGCGCTTCCAGGTGACTACTGGTCCAGAACAATATTAATCAAAATTACATAACAGATGAATTAAAACTAAACAGACCTGTTGGCTTATCGACACGCATAAGCCTGAGATATGGCTGGATACTTCTTGGGGTTGCCTGAACAAGTGCAGCACCGGAGAATGCTCCTTTCTGCCTTTTCGGCAATATCGGGACTAGCAATGTGCGCTTCCGAAAGTGCAGCACCCTTTGAATACAAAATTTGTTCATCCTGAA